GTATTATAAGCTATGAAACAACAATCGTGAAGTATCTAATATACAACCATCATAAACTGTCACACGCTTTTCGTAGACTATTACACGCTATCATACACAATCATGCATTATGATAAACAATCATAACCGATTGTCATCGCATCACAAAAGACAATGCTAGTAGACGGTTTTATTTTGGAGTTGTTTCAATGCAAAGTCTCACGCACAGCGTTACAGCCGAAATGGTACTCTGCCCTAGCTCCCGAAGGACCTACTTTTATCCCTAGATTTTTTCGCAATGATAGGCTAGTGATGAGGAGATTCTTAGGAAATGGGAAATTTTCCAGGTAGAGAAACGAGCGTTAATATCACGTGCGGGTTGAACTGATTTGGCCGTTAGGAAGTCATAAGTGTCATATGTTCATGATTCTTGGGATTGATCAGTACTGATACCGCAGATCGTAAACTTTGGGAAAGAAGGTTGCATCCTAGGAGTTGAGAAACGAATGCTTTCTCGGAATTTAAGAAAGGAAAGAAGGGTACTAAGGACAGCATTATTTAGGAATTACTCCATACGATCATATGACCATAATGAACTATCAAACTATCATATAACCATTCTAAACTTTTATACGCTATGATATGACCCAAACATATTTTTTATGAATGGCAGTACGTGCCTCGACCTGTTTGCCCTGGAGTACCTGCTGCCGGGCTCCAAAGTGTGTCTGAGCGGTCAGATTATAGGATCCTAAGAACATGAACGAGGGTATCTTTTATCCATCTAAACACTAACGAAGCTCCTACTTGACCATAGTTTTTTACTGTCGGCTTATTACAGTCAGGGTAAAGTTAAATTAGAATCCCCGATCCACGGCATTCAAGATTGGGAAAAACCGAAAGAACAAGGACTATTTTAGGCAACCGCCCCCTAGTTTCCTCTTTCCACACCTCCGCCAATAGAATTCGTTTTTGCTATTTCCCAGCTGAATCCTATTCCTAATTCCAGCAAATCAACATCCGTCACTCACATTCGTACTCCTTTCTTATTCGAACGCACTCCCAACTTTTTTCACATAGTCATTAGAATTGGAGCATCGACAACGTTGAGCGAAGCACTTTGACTGATCTTAGAATAGTTGTATCTTAGTCTCTAGTTTTTGGAATGGTCCTTTGAGTAGAACACAAAATTATTGCAAACTTGATAATCGGCACACCACGTGCAAATTACATTAAGGCTTGAACGAATATTCAACCACGAGCATTAACAACTATTATACAGGCATTATATCCTAATCCTAATAGGCATCCATTCTAAACTATCACACGCTATCATGTCGAGTAGTTCCATTCTAACACCTAAAGTAGTACTACCTAAAAAGATTTTCGTACTGCTTTGTGTCCATTATCGACAGTTTGAATTCGACACTCCTATTTGAAATTTGTACAATATCTGTTGCAGTAACGATTAGGAACTAGTTGACATCCATCTAAAACCCTTGGCATTCCAAGGCTAAGTTGCTGACTTTTCTCGCACAGATACACAAATTTCAACCGGAGAAATCAACACCGTCGATTCTAGAGGCTTGATTGATAATATGAAGAAACTCTTA